CACACACACACACACACACACTGTTATACCCTCCATTTAGTAAAAAAACAAGACGTCAACATATTCCCCGAGCGTCGAACCTCAGGAAGCGTTCCTACGAAAGTGTCAACAAGCAGGAGCGTAAATATTTTCAGTGACTGAGAATATTTGTCGAGGAAGTGAAACAAACTCAACTACTTCCCTTTTTCTACGAACGCTTCCTTTTATTTCATCACCGGGACTCCCCACTTTAAACCCAACCATTTTCATCTAAAATTTACATTTTACTTCCAAAGTAAAAATAAAAATACTTTGCATCCCGTCTCCCACCACCGCTGCAGCTGCTCACTTGGACTGGATACAACACTTGCCTTAATTGACAATATAAAGCAGGAACGCAGATAGTGCTAAAGTTTTAAACAAAGACGGTGTGCAAGTGCTCGGGTGACTTTTAGCTACTACACCAAATTTTAACTCATTTGTGAAACCAGCTGAGTTTTAGCTGTTTTTCCATTTGCTAAAAAGGAAGGATCTCACTGGGAAGCGACCGCTGGCAAACAGAATCGGCAGGGAAGTCTCCAAATGTTTGCAGGGGTTCTCCATTTCCTCAAATAAGTCGGGCTCTAGTCATATTGATTAAAAATTGAATATGTTAAATAATTTAGACCATTTTAGTTTCCATAGTTCTCGGGCACCAGCGCTAACCTCACCTTTGAACACCTGCTATGAGGGCTCTTCTTTGATAGAGAAAACCTCAGGTGGGGGGGCACAATAATGCGCGTGGCATAGAATACAGCTTTAGGAACCATACACACGTAAAAAGGGCCCAGTGTCCAAAAAAAATAGAGACTCGGGTCAGTAAAACTAACAGGAAATTAGTTAATTTTTACACCACTCCGAGGCCAACTGGCCTCAGCTCGCTCGTAAACAACTTTGTTTAAATCATGTAAACTACATACAGCTGTGTTTCCCCTTCCATTAACCAAACGGGGTGCCCCGCCCTGCCTAAACTTCTGCTACTTTGGGACTGTAGCCACAGGATAAGTGGCTTCGACCTAGCATTACTAACATAGCTCGACACATTCACACCTTTTAATGGACAAAAACTCCTTAAATCATGAGAGGTAGGGCCAGCGATACTACCTGGGTGTTTAGTTCATTCTCGAGATATTTTCCTAACAGGCAGATGCAATAAGAAGAAAGTGCTATGCAGGCCTGTCACGATAAGTTCTGCTGGGCGATCGTTTCAGAAATTATTGAGATAAATGATAATATTGTTTGAAATTTGACGAGGTCGGCCTGTTAGCTTAGCTCGTAGCTTAGCTGCTTTTAACGCTCCAACAACGCGATTGTGGGCGGTTCAAACAGATTTTAAAAAGAGGAGAGAGAAAGGGAGGGGTCAGTGAAGAGCACCGAAGTTGAGTCTTTTGTCATCCAGTGTCTTCAGGAGAAAGAGACATGAAGAAACGATAAAGCCGATAAATGACGAGGTCGATAATTTTAAATTTATCGTGCGATTGATTTATTGTTTATCGCGACAGGCCTAGTGCTATGTATCATCATCATCATCGTAGATTTCTTTGCAATGACGAAATTAGTTCTCTGCATTTAACCCATCCCGTGAGATGCACACAGGTGGAGCAGCGGGCAGCAATGTAGGCATCCGGGGAGCAGTTAGGGATTGGGCGTCTTGCTCAGGGACACCACAGCATGTGGGGACGGCGAGGAGATGAACTAGCGAGCTTCTGGTCCCAAGTCGGCTGTCCTACCTCTACACCATCTAATAACCTTAAGATAACATGAAGATTAACAAACACGCTCATTTTGGGAGTTTTAAGTTCATTAAGCAAAACATTCCGGTCACAAGCTTTAATTTTCCGACCTCCATATCTTTTGGTTGATTGTAAAAGTAAAAACAAGTGACTTGCAGTCCTGACTCAGCCGTGTCCTCGCACACCGAGGACAACGAAACGCTGAAAACAAACAAAACGGAGGTGAAGAGACTCCAATCACAGCTCCACATCCAGCCCGACGGTTCCCAGAACTGCTTTTCATGCCCTCGCTCCCCAGAAACCCGACGTTCGACTCACGTCGGGCGCCGAACAAAACGTTTCCCGCAACACAAAATCGACGAGCGCCTGAAGCGGACCGCTGTGCCGTTCACCGCTCCAAACCCCTCCGGAGCGGCTGGAATCAACGAGCGTAGTCCAAGTAGGTTAGTGGACTAAGAGGTGACGTGTCTGAGCCGCAATAAAGACGGATAATTATCGGGTGAACGGAAACGATGCCGTCAAACAACACAAGCACGTCCGAGGCTCATCGAATCCGTTAGCCATCTTTAGTTTTGTGAGCAATTAATAAGATGAATAAACTTTAAGAGAAAACACAGGGGTGCAAGATGGAATGGGCTTTCTATAGAAGTAGGAAACTTCTGCTTTTGTTCTCTTTCATTCATAAACATTCCCTCATTTTTCTCAGAGTAAATCCTCAAACTCCAGGAAACGCCACCATGGCCGATCAGTAAGGACACGTGTAGGCGCAGAACATGGACTCACCGGTACCAGAACACAACAAGTATTAATACACGAACACGTTCAGATCATCCGTTTTAAATCGGCAGATCAAATTCTCAGGATTTTCCCCACGTCTGGAAAATGCGAGTCATTTTCCAGGTTTCCTCTGATTTCCAGAGTTGCTGGGAACTTGGTTCTGTGAAAAGCAAAAAGCTAAAAGATATAAAACACTAATGATTACGCAACAAAACTTCCTTTGGAGTCGTTTCTTCTTCCTTCAATAAACACTTAAAAAAAAAAAAAAAGTACTAAACCAAATAATTTAACCTGAAAAGATTTTTGGTGAAAGTGAACACCGTTTACCACAAAATTCATGGGTCATTCCACTCTGCTGCCCTTGGGTCAAAAGAACCCATGTCTCGTGGTCTTCTTGACCCAAGGGCAGCAGGAGGGTTAAACTATGATCATCTTATGAGAAGTAATGACGTCATAACCACTGGTCAACCAGCTAAGGCAGACATCTTGACTTGGAATGACTTCAAAAGTTAATGAGTTGTAAATGCACATCTAATGACTACTTCCTGGAATCACTCTGGGATTAATGAGATAATACAGCCATCGTGTGATCAGTTGGTGCTCAATGTGTGCGTTAGGTATGACACTCAAATACTACCACACCAAACTTAACATGTAAAAATGTCCCAAAGTTATAGATATTGATGCGTTTGCTAAAACCATTTAGCCGTGGCGATCATTTTAAGTCGACTTGCCTACAAAAGTTAATGCGTTGTAGATGCGCGTCCAGTGATTAATTCCTGGAAGTTTCATTAACATCCAACGAGTGGCTGGTGAGATATTATGCTAACAGACGCGAGCAAAACCATTATCGTCCTCGCCTCCTAGCGGGCGATGAAGTGCTGTAAAACGTGTAAAGCAAGCGGGCGGGTTTGTGAGGACAACGTGGTCCGGTGACGGCAGCAAACCAGGTGCACGTTTTGTAACCGCTTAGCTTAAGAAGCTAGCTTACGGAGACCCAGAAAATAGACGGACCCCGCTGCGCTGTCAGTGAACGGGGCCTAAGGTGGTCCCAGCAACAACAACAAAGAGTAGAACCGGTGAGGTGGTCTGAAACTGGGGGGTTTTAAATAAAAAAATACAAGAAAGCACAAATAGTTCTATTAAAACACGAACAAATGAGCGATTAACACAGCCGCTGGCTTCAGAGGACAAACTCCATTTGCGTTTGAGCCTTAGAGGCCAAACAAAGTGGGCTTGCGTTAGCACGCTGCTACAGCATGGCAGCATCCCCGAGTAGCAGGTCAACAAAACAAGCCTCCCCTCCGTCGCCCGATTGCACCTTCTCGTGGCACCGCACGCGACCGAGCGTTCGCAGGTAATTCTTCTCGAGGTTAAAAAGTTACCTGGCATCGTGCTGTCGGCGTTCGCCTCCAAGCGCAACGGTACTCGAGATTTAGGTGAACGACGAAGAGCGCTTTCGGCTCGTCCGGGGGATTTCTCGCAGCTAAGTCCTGTTAGCCTCCGTGCTAGCGTTGCCAGAGCTCGGTCACGTGGTCTGCTGAGGCGTTCACGGACTTTATAGCGGTGCGGACTCTTGAGCGTCTCTCTTTAAATGAGCACCTGTTTGGTTGTTTTTGTGGCTGAGAAAGGTCGTTTTCGTTTGTTTGTGAACGTTGTGTGATCGTTTTGTGTGGACGTTACAACTTTTTAGCACGGTTCCATAAAAAACAATCTCTTGTTTTTACTCATGGTGTAATCTAGCAGTGACAGACTGTTCTGTGCAAAAGTCCTGAATCATCCTTACGCTTTGCTTTCAAGGAACCAGGGTTTCTTATTTGGATTTTTTTGTTGTTGTTGTTGTTGCTTATTTTCTGTTCAGCGCCTGATCGTTTTAAAGCAATATTTTTAATTGTTTGTTTAGTGTTTTAACTCTGACCTATAAATCATTCAGGGCTTCTAAACCAAAGGAGTGGGAATGATAAACGCATGTGCAGCTTTTACATCTTTGGAAGAGTTGAACAAGAAATTACATTTTAAACATTTTTATAGGAGTGCGTGCCATTACTCTGACGAGTCCAGGTTGCGTTGTTGTTTGACTGTTTCCATCCATTATCTTTACCCGCTTCTTCCTTTTAGCGTCACGGGGGTCGTTGGTGCCCATATCCTGCAGTCACTTTTCTTTGTGTATTTTGGGAAATCCACTAAAAAGATGGAGTGGCTTCTCCCACGTATAACCTGCAGTTAAGTGAGCGATTGATTACCTCGTCCTTTTCAAGTTTTTACAGGTAGTTTGTGATCTTTTCACAAGTGCTGGTTGGGTCCTTCCTTGGTAACGTGGTTCATTTTTCCGGTACTCCGAAGTGTTGCGACGTTGTCCGTTACTTTGAGAGTTTCACTAAAAGCTGCCCCGTAGTTTGAGATATGTTTGCACTTGAAAGAAGAGGGATGAGCATCAGCTGTAGGAAGATAAAAGAGTACCAGTACATGTGTGTGAATGAGGTGGAACAGAGGCTACAAGGAGCAGAGGTCACAAAGGTGCAGGACTTCAAATACTTTGGGTCCACTGTCCAGGAAAGTGGGGAATGTTGTAAATTCAATTCAGTTCAATTCAGTTTATTTATAAAGCGCCAAGTCACAACAGAAGTCATCTCGAGGCACTGAACAGAAACATTCATGTTTAATAATAATAATTTACCATTATTTATCTGAGGAGGAGACTGCTTTGAGTTTAACTCCATTATATGATACAACGGCATGCCGTACAACTTGAGTGCCATCTAGTGGCTGAAAATGGTAGTGTTCAGTTTTTTCAGTCAGAATGAATGAAAACGGTCATATCTCAGCCGAAAATTGGTTTATAAATATGGGAACAAATCCATAAATACGTTGCTTCAGCCTATAAGTCGCAAGGCATGCAAATTATGCAAAAAAAGTGACTTCTACAGTGAAAAATACAGTACTCTTTTGTCATCTTATGATTCTTTTAACTATTTTTTGTTACTTTTGGCATTTACATACTTTTCTGCGATAATTAGTTAGCCTTTTGCTACATTTAGTTCTGAGCTATCATTTTGCTACACTTAGCTTGCCTTTCACTGCATTTAGCTTTTAGCAAATGTAGCAATAGATTTAGCTAGCATTTTGCTACCTTCAACTTA